TTTTTTTTTTTGGGAGAGGCATCAATATTCTCCAATTAGCTTCATTGGGTTCAATGGACTGCCCCCTGTTTTCGTCCACTGTTGCCAAAGTAGTTCACTCTAGAAGAAGCTTGCTTGCCCGTCTGCCGACCGCAATTCAGCGGCGACAGCACTCCCATCTCTGGCATCGTCTTTCCCGCTGCGCAGGAACCTGTCCCCGTCGACACCTCAGAAAGACCGCACAACCTCGGTCTAAGGTACCCAGCCATGGGCTGCCGAAGCAAACGACTGAGATCACAGAAGATTCTATCGTGGATGTAACGGACTCGACGCTCAGCCAGAAACGCAAAACTCGCAAGATTGAAGATGTATTGATCATGAATGGGCTGTTCATGATTTAGCTGACCAGGGCAGAATTTCGCGTGGAATTACCCCCATTATTTGCACCAGGGTTGGTCAACACGCGTGATGTACATCTGGCAGTGTGAAATCAGATGCCTGCTCTCGGCTCATAGTGCCATTCACCTCGTGGTATCTGTGTTGACTGGTCTGTATCTACGGATGGGTTGGTGAAAAGGCTCGGTTCGTGTGGTCTTATGCTAACACAAGAGACACGGAACGCGTTGTGTGCTCGTACAGGCTGTAAGATATGCGTACCCACTGGCCGCTCATGCCAACATACAACAGCGTCGGCATGCATAACAAATGGCGCGCCGGAACAAGCGATTCGCAATGGGCACAAGCACAGCGATCTTGTGTGTAACCCAACAGACCGCGGATAACGCGTCCGAGCGGTTATAGCCGTATACTGTCTCAAAAGTTTCGGGTGGAGCTTTTGTTTGCTGGACCGCATACCGCGTACCGGTCAACATCCGGCACAATGTTGTCAACATTGACTTCAAAGTGGGACGGTCGAGGCACATCGCAGCACCACACATTTCCACATGCCAAACTTTGTTTGTTTGGGACGCAGGCTCGAGGCATGGACAGCTATTGTTTGGCCAAGTGGAGGATATCGACTCACCCGCTCGTCCAATTCCTTGCGCGTCGCATGAGAAATATGAAATAGCTCATTGCGTAGAATGACCACCAGGCCCTAAAAGTATGACACAAAAAGACCTCACCCGACCAACACGAA